CCTCCCTCCCTCCCTCCCTCTCTCCCTCCCCCCCCTCTTTCTTTCTTTCTTTTTTCTCTTTCTTTTTTCTTTGCAGCTTCTGAGGCTTAAACTCAGGGCTTGGGTGCTGTCTCTGAACTTTTTTTTGCTGAAGACTAGTGATTTGCCAGCTCCATTTCCGGCGTTTTGGTGGTTATTTGGAGATAAAAGTCTCTCAGACTTTCCTGTCTGGGCTAGCTTTGAACTTTTGAACTTTGAGATCCTTAGATCTCAGGTCCCTGAGTAGCTAGGATTGCAGGCATGAAACACCAGGGCCTGACTTTGGTAGTCTTAAGTTTTGCTGCTAGTTTAACATGTCTTTTTCCCCTCTTGTTTTTGGTGCTGTTCCTGAGGTTTTAACTTAGGGCCTAAGTGCTGTCCCTAAGTTTTTTGCTCAAGGCTAGCATTCTACCACTTGAGCCATAGCATCCCTTCTGGCTGTTGGGTGGTTAATTGGAATTTAGAATCTTACCAACTTTCTTGCCTTTCTTGGCTTTGTATCCATCCTCAGGACTCATCCTCCTGAGTAGCTAGGATTATGTGGGCCACTGTACCTGGCTGCTTTTAATTCTTTTTTTCTGATACCTTCAGATAGTTCTACTAGATTACATTAGTTTTTACTCCTTGTTCTTTCTTGCTTATTGAAATTTTATTTATTTTTTATCTTTTGTTGGTCCTAAGGCTTGAACTCTGGGCCTGGGTGTTATCCCTGAGCTCCTTATGCTCAAGGCTAGCACTCTACCACTTGAGCCACAGCACAGCTTCCAGTTTTTCTGTGATTAATTAGGAATAAGAGTCTCACAGACTTTCCTCTCTTAGAACTATGATTCTCAGATTTCAGCCTCCCGAGTAGCTAGGATTATGGGTGTGAGCCACTGGCACATGGCTAAACTTGCTTTTATATCGTTAGTCTTGTGCTATGATCCAGAAATGTCTGTGTTGCTAATTTGCTTCTTACCTATATCAAGTCTTCAAACTCATTGACTCATTGTATCTTTAATTTTTAGAAGTTCTGTTTAGTTTTTGTAGCTGCTTTTTATTTTTTTTGTTTACTTTTTAATGCCAGTACAGGGGCTTGTAGTCAGGGGTAAACTCTTACTTTGTTGTTAATAGCTGGGACTTTACCATTTGAGCTATGCTTTCAGCATTGTATTTTGAGGTGGAGCTCTCAGACTTCTCTACCTGGGCTGACTTGGAACTTCAGACTTCCAGATTTCATCCTTGAGAGTAGCTGGGATTACAGATGTGAATCACAAATGCTCTACTTAATTCTTTTTTTAAAAAATGATTCTAAAAGTTATATATGACTTACACAAGACTTTGTGGTACTGGGTTTGAACTGAGGGCTTTGCTCTTAAAGTTCTTTACCACTTGAATCACACCGCTGGTCCCTCATTAATTTTTTTGATTCCTTCATTTCTTCAGAAATTCATTTATTTTTCTGTTTCAGGCTTTCTATCTGATTATTTCAAAATCTGAAGTATGTAGGGATCTGATTCTGTTCTTTGTTGTCTGCTTTCTATTTTTTGTGGTCATGGTGGTAGTAATGCTACTATATCAGCGGTGGCATTGATATGTTTGTATTTGTGAGCTCATTTTTGGGGAGAACTTATATCTTTGTTGTTTGGGCCAAGGATATATGTTGATTCAAGCAAAACTAACCCTAAACCAGTTTTTGGTGTAACTACTTTTAAGCAACTTTATTTTACAAATACTACTGGTATACTATAAAATGTTAGAAGAAAATAGCAAGTGCAAAAATTGGTCTGGTGCCAAGGTAACACCACTATTATCACTTGAATAATATATACTGTTTATAACATGTTTTTATCTTGGAACACATTGTTGGAAATCTTTGAGGAAACAATTCTCAGTTCCTACCAAATGCCTACAAAGTTAGCCTCTTCCTTGTCTTCTTTGCAGGTTTTGGGGTTTCCGGCTTTTTTTCTTTTTCTTTTTTATCTTTTGATGAAGATTATCCTTTTCCTTTCTTTGAGCTCAGTCATATGTTTTAAATACCTTAAAAAAATATCCAGTCAATGGACCCAGCATCTAGCTTTCTCTAGTGTGTATATCCCATCCTATCTACCTACTTATTCGACCTACTAATCTATTTTCTGCCTGTAGATTTGCCAATTCTAGACATCCAATATAAATGGAATTCTGTGGTCTTGTCTTTTATAACTGGCTTCATTTAGTATAATGATTTTGAATTTTTCTTTTTTGTTGGTCGTGGGGCCTGAACTCTGTGCCTGGGTGCTGTCCCTTAGCTCTTCAGCTCAAGGCTAGTCCTCTTATCCCTTGAGCCACAGTACTACTTCCGGCTTTTTCTGCTTATGTGGTGCTGAGGAATCTAACCCAGGGCCTTATGTATGCAAGGCAAGCACTGTACCACTGAGCTATCTTCCCAGGCCTGATTTTGAAATTTATGTTGTAACATGTATTAGTAACTTTTATCCAGGATGTTCTTCCTCCCTGCCTTCATCTTAGACCTTCTTTTTTTTCTTTTTCTTTTTCTTCTTTTGGTTGGTCATAGAGCTTGAACTCTGGGTCTGGGCACTGTCCCTCAGCTCTTCAGCTCAAGGCGAGCGCTCTGCCACTTGAGCTACAGTGCCACTTCCAGTTTTCTAGTGGTTTTTCAGAGATAAGCATCTCATAGACTTACCTGCCTGGGCTGGCTTTGGACTCAGATCTCAGCCTCCCTCCTGAGTAGCTAGGATTACAAGTGTGAGCCACTGGCACCCGGCTCTTTAGACCTTCTTGTTACCAAATATAGAAGTCTGAAATATTTTTTTCTAATCATATTTAAAAATATTTATCAATATTTAGGCTCTCATTTTCTTCCCATTGATTTGAGTGATTTAGATATTGTTTCATTGTTCATTGTTTCATCGTAGCAGTATTTTTAGATATTTCACACCAAACACTAGATTATGTAATAAAGTTACTCAATTTTGCTGCTTATTAGTTTTGTCCTATTAGAATGATGTTTTGTTTGGAGGTAGTAGTGTCTTTTGGAAATTTTAGTGATACTCCTCAGATAAAACAAAAAATAAAAAAAATTTTGTACTGGAGTCTTGTCAATACAGTATAATAGAGATTTAATTAGCATAAATAGCAGACAGATATTTAAAATTTCCTGTTCAGTGGGTTTTAGTACATTTACATAGTGGTGCAACTACATTTTACAGCATATTTGTTATCTCAAGAAAACACTTCGTTATTAAGAGCCATTCATTGCCCTTGTCCTCACACATACTTATCCCAAGCTTCCATTTGTAGAAAATCATTCATTTATTTTCAATCTAAACATTTTCCAGTTTAGAACATTTTATACAACTGGAATCATATGGAATGTAGCCTTGTGACTGAATTCACCTCCCATGATGATTTTGAGGTTTATCCATATTGGAATATATGTTAATATTTCATTCCTATTTTTATTGATGTCTTTGTCATCATCCTTGCCCCATGCAAGGTGTTGAAATTTTCTGTATATTAATCATGTTAATTGAATATTGTTATAATCATAGAGAGATATGGGATGAAGGAATATGAAATTTATGATTTTTATGCCCTTGGGAACACATCAGTGACTTGAGATATTTTTTAGTTGACACAGTTGAAGATACTATAGGCATCTAGTGAGTAGAAGCTAGAGATTCAGTTAAGCTTCCTACACACACAGTTCCTCAACATACAAATTATTCAGTCCACAATGTTAATAATAAACTTACAAGTCAAAATGATAATAGTACCATAATGATACTAGAACTGATGATTTGATTGTATTGACTAGATTTTAGATATGTCTTTATATGTTTAGATATATCTATAAATATTTCATTAACATTTGTGGGATGACTAGTTTTACCTTGTTCTTTTCATTAATCCATGTTTGTATGCCAGTTGACTAATACCGAGCTAACACTGACAACATTTTCTAAACATTGTCTGAGATTTTTAAGATAAAATACTGAGGATTGAAATTTCCATGTACTACTTCCCCTAGGTTGTTCTTTTTTTTTTTTTTTTTGGCAGTTCTGGGACTTGAACTCAGGACCTGGGCACTGTCACTGAGCACTGTTTATGTGGTACTGAGGAATTGAACCCAGGGCTTCCACTAAGTCACATTCCCAGCCCCCTCTGTTATTCTTTTTTTTTTTTTTGTCGGTTGTGGGGCTTTAACTCTGGGCCTGGGGTGCAGTCCCTGTGCCCTTCAGTTCAAGGCGAGCACTCTACCGCTTGAGCCACAGCACCACTTCTGGTTTTCTAGTGGTTTATTGGAGATAAAAATCTCACGGACTTTTCCTGCCTGGGCTGGCTTTGAACCGTGATTCTCAGATCTCAGCCTCCTGAGTAGCTAGAATTACAGGCTTGAACCACTGGTGCCTCGCCCTTTGTTATTCTTCTAGAATAGTTTTTCCAAAACTACCCTCCCTGTGCTTCCTGTTGTTAGATAAAATGTTTATAAGGTGCTTCTATATTGTCTTCAGAAATAGATCAGACACCTTATCTATAATATTAGTTTACTTACTGAAATATATTTTATTCTTATGTATATTACCAAGATAGACACAACCTGGTTTAAGATATCACAGATTTCAAGTTAACAATCAGTGCAGTTCTACTCATCTATAGATTTTTTTTCCCCCTGGTTCTTTTTTTTTTTTTTTTTTTCCGGTCGTTGGGCCTGAACTCTGGGCCTGGGTGCTGTCCCTCAGCTCTTCAGCTCAAGGCTAGTGCTCTACCACTTGAGTCACAGCGCCACTTCCAGCTTTTTTCTTTTTGCTTATATGGTGCTGAGGAATCGAACTCAGGGCCTCAGGCATGCAAGGCAAGCGCTCTACCACTGAGCCAACTTCCCAGCCCTCCCCCTGGTTCTTTATAGAACTATAAAAATCATTTGTCATTTTGACACTATATACCCCTTAGGAAAACTATTTGAGGTGAAATATTTTCTTGCATTTTGATTGTTCTGACTAAACAAAGTGAACTAAGCTAAAATTCAACTATATATTTCCAAAAAACAATTTCCCTTTTCTTTTGTTGGTTATGGGGCTCAAGGCTAGTGCTCTACCACTTTGAGCCACAGTGTTACTTCCAGCTTTTTGGTGGTTAATTGAAGGTAAAGTCTCACATACTTTCTTGCCTGGGCTGGCTTTGAACTGAGATCCTCAGATCTCAGCCTCCTGAGTAACTAGGATTACAGGTATGAGCCACTAGCACCTGGCTGCATGTCCCAATTTTTATAGAATGTACATGTAGAATGATAATAGCAAGTAAATGACTAAATAATTTTTATTGTGATAAATAATACAAGACAATAATTTGAGAACTTGTGGGTAGAGGTAATTAAAAACATTAGTTGAAGTTTCATTGAAGGTACTTCATTGTGATTAAGGGGCAGTTTAAACCTTTTCAAATAATCACTAGATCTGTGGCAGACATCTCTTTATCTTGCAAATGAATATTTGTTCAAGTCAAAGGAAAATGAATAAATTATAGCTGTTATGCACCAACCCTGTGCAAGTGCACCAGGGTTTGAATTCAGGGCCTAGGTGTTGCCTCTGAGTCTTTTTTGTTCAAGGCTAGCCTTTTATCACTTTAGGTACATCTAAACACCTCTGGCTTTTTGCTAGTTAATTAGAGATATTAGAATCTCTTAGGCTTTTCTTCCCTGGACTGGCTTTGAATGACAATCTCAGATCTCTGCATCTTGAGTAGCTAGGATTACAGGTGTGAGCCACTAGTACCCTGCAAGGTAGGCTTTAAAAATAATAATAATAGGGGCTGGGAAGGTGGCTCAGTGGTAGAGCGTTTGCCTTGCCTGAGGCCCTGGGTTCTATTCCTTAGCACCACATAAGCAAAAAGAAAAAAGCTGGAAGTGGCGCTGTGGCTTAAGTGGTAGAGTGCTAGCCTTGTGCTGAAGAGCTGAGGGACAGCGCCCAGGCCCAGAGTTCAGGCCCCACGACCAGTCCCAAAAATAATAATAACAATAATAAAAATATATAGTTTTGTTTTTAATCACAAGCAAGGGAGGACTACTGAATTTAAGTATCAGAGATATAGATTGTAACAAAAAGATTTTAGTCCTCAAAAATATTTAGAATTATTGATGAAAATTACTTCCATTTAGCATTTGCTGGCATGTTGGTCACTAATCATGTACAAATGTTTTATAGGATCAAGAATGACAAGTTAACTTTTCTGGGTTTTTTTTTTTAGCCTGTCCTGGAGCGTGAACTCAGAGCATAGACACTGTCCCTGAGCTGCTTTGGCTCAAGACTAGCAGTCTACCACTTGAGCCACAGGCACCACTTCCAGATTTTCTATTTATGTGGTGCTAAAGAATCGAACCAAGGGCTTTGTGCATGCTAGGCAAGCACCAAGTCCTCATAGTTGTTGTTTTTTAAAATTGCTATTTGTTTTTTAATGTTATGTTAAAACATGATTCCAAAAAAAGTTGAATAATTTTTGGAAATTTATATATTAGTATTTGTAAATAGTACTGTCAAAAGCAACTTGTAGAGCAATTGTCATGCTTATGACTGTAATCTTGCCAAGATTCAGTAATTTCACATGGCACACATCCATTCTTTGTAGCATGTCACCACTGGCAGTGGTTGTAATGGCAGACATGATGTATTTCCCCAAGGAGAAGATAGTATAAGCAGAAGGTGCATACTTAGTATGTAGCCTAAAATGAATATATTTAGTTCTTTCTGAATCATCATGTGCCATCAGGGTCTGTCTATATTTTTGTCTCTAAAAATTTGACAGTAATCTAAGGAAGTTAACCAGCTGTCTTACATCCTGGAGGAAATAACGATTCACTGAGCAAGAACTCACTTTTGGTGGAATGATTATAAAGAGGAGTTTTAGTAATTATCATGCTTATTTTAAAATTAGTCCTTTGTAACTTCAATGCATTTAGATATTTCTAAAGGACATTGGTTTATTTTTATAATATATTTACAGAAGTATATTCTAATCCTGTTTTAATTTTGATGAATAATTACCTAGTCAGCATTAGACATACAATTAACAATTGGATATCATTTTACAGGAGACTTTGCAGCAATTGATTATGATGTCTTTGCCAAATGTCTTGATTATTGGCAAAAATCCATTTTCTGGTGAGTATTACAATTAGTAAAATGTAACAATAATGTTTCTCTGTTATGTAATACTATGATGTATATTAAGAGATTATTTTTACATTAATTTACTGGTATTTTCATGACCCCATGGGAGTTTGAAGTAATGTTCCAGTTTTATTTTTTAGAGAGAAAACAGATTCAGAATATTTTTAAGTTGTAGGTAATATTATCCCACACTTAACACTAAATCTAGTAGTTTTTCTTCTGTGTAAAATCTAGACTTTTTGGTAGTGACTATGATTTTTAATGCTTCATTATAAACAACCATAGAAGGCCATATAGTTCTAGATTAAAAAGAATATAACCTTAGGAAATAAATGATTTTAAAATGATTTTTAGTTTTGTATTTATGTATCTACCATCTATCGCTGTCAAGGTTGTTCAAGGATGAGTTTTTTGTTGTTGTTTTTGTTGACTCTTTATTCAAGTGACTTTAGTTAGGTAGAGTGTAACTGACTTAGTATTTAAGTGAATTTGGTGTTTAGAGAGTTTTTAGGATACTCCAATCCTAGATTTTGATAATAAAAATAACACACAAAAAAAACAAAGATTCTAATCTTTACTAACCATCATCCTAAATACAGAGGATAATTATGTTTTCCCAATCCAATCATGAATGTTCCTTAATCCTTATTAATAGTCCAACTTTAAGAATAACAATTGTCTCCATTGTTTATAAGATGCCTTAATATTTGGGGGAGGGGGAGTAGAAATCCATTTAGATTTTAAAAGTAGAAGAATCTTAATATTTGTTTTTTAGTAAGAAATAAAGGAGACAGCCTATTTAAAAGTAAGTTTGGCTGAGTTTGGAGCATGTCTCTGTAATAATTTAACTTACTTGGCTGATGTAATATAATTTGTGGAGGAGTAGATATATAGTTTGCATACATATTATACAAACTCTTGAAGTCCATTTGTTTATAGCCCTTCACAGTCGAAATACTTGTTATTTTCTATTATCATATTGCACACAAAGAACCTAGCCATTTGAATTTTCCACTAAATTTGTTTATATGATGAATCCTTTGGTCAAGTGATTATGAATATTACCTCTAGAATTGATTATCCTAGTATGAGAAAGAAAATTGACATAGAGCTACAAAAATGCTTAGTAGTTTTTTTTAATTTCAGAACAAGGCACGGAAGAAGTTAAAAAACTGCTTTTGCTCTTACTGGGATGTGCAGTTCAGGTGAGTTAAAATATTTCTTCATATTTTTATTTTAATACCATCTTCCTTTTAGGCTCTAATTTCTGAAAGATTTAAGGAATAGATCACTGATTTTCAAAGTATGTGTTAGAAAATGTATCTGTATAGTCTCATAAGGAGATTGTGATAAACAATTCTCTTATTTTAAAGTTTATATTAACATGGTCATTTCAAGTCTTTAATTACTTTTTCTGTTTGGAGTCTTTTAATGGTCCTGTTTTCCATTTCTTCTCTGAGGTATCTTTAAAAACTTATCCCCAAAATTTCTTATGACTTGTTTGTATGTGTTCATGTTTTAGGCATGGGGAATGTGGGGTTAATAGTAAAAAGGAGAATAGGATTTGTGATAAATGTTTTAGGAGTTTGGATTATTACTAGATTACTCTTTGATCCATAATAATACTACAAATGATAGCTATGATTTAGTGACTGTCTGCTTTGTCTTAAGTATTATACTTTACATAGGGTTTCTGATAATTTCTCAGATAAAAAGATTATTTAAGCAAAGTTATAAATATATATCTTTTTCTATTATAAAAGTTTATCAGCCAGGCGTTAGTGGCTCACACCTGCAATCCTTGCTACTCAGGAGGCTGAGATCTGAGGATTGCAGTTCAATGCTAGCCCAGGCAGGAAAGTCTGTAAAACTTAACCTATAGTGAACCACCAAAAATTCCAGAAGTGGAGCTGTGGCTCTAGTGGTAGAATGCTAGCCTTGAGCAAGAAAAGCTCAGGAAAAGCACTCAGGCCCTGAGGACAGCACCCAGTTCTGAGGACTGGGTGCACTCAAATAAAATGTTTATCAAAGGCATTATCCACATTTTTAAGGGGCTTAATTTGGCAAGTTATTTATTAAATAATAGTAAATTTTCTATTGCTCTAGGTAGGAGACTGCTTTTCTAAATCATAGAGAGCTTACCTCACTACCTTGTAATCTCTAAGGAGAAATGAGCAGCTTGTCACTAGTCAGCAGGCCATATCCTGAACAGGCTAGATGTAGACTCTAGATAGAAGAGACCATCCCAAACACTCCCCCTCCCCTTTTCCTCTCCTTCATTACTCCCTTCCTAGCTCCTCCCCCCACCCCCCAGTGCTGGCACTCTCTGTGTCTCTGTCTCTCTCTTTCTCCCCCCACTCCCCAATATTAGAGATTGCACCTGGAGCATTATGCTTTCTAGCCATATGCACTTAAGCTATACCCTGATATTTAAACTATACCATGGTATTTTCTACTTGGAATTTTCCCCTCTCTCTCCCTCCTTCCGTCCTTCCTTTTCTCCTGTTTTTCTGGAATTGGGGTGATAAATATAAGTTATTTTTATAAATTAGGACATTTCTGAGTCAAGGGAGGTGTTAATTAAGTGAAACAATGTTTCTTAAACTGAGATAGTCACTCTAGATTTAGGTCATATTACTAGTGGGCCAAAGAACTGGTATTCAACTCTGTGACTTCCAAATCTATTATATAATGTTGGTTTCTCATTTGATAAGCCTTATTTTTGGATGAGTTTTTACAGTGTTAAACTATTTTAATTCTTTGTGGAATGAGGTTGTTCATAAACTAATTATAAGCCCACTAGTAACATTTTATATTCCTCTGCTTAAAATGAAATATCCTAGAATGTGTAGGCTTTTATACCTGACTGCTTTGGAGTTATACATTATTATTTTTTTATTGACACATAGTAATCATACATATTTATGTGGTATATTGTGGCATTTCAGTATGAGTATAACATGTGTAATGATTAGATCAAGTTAATGGACATTTACTAAGTCTATGCATTGGGAACATTCAAAATCTTTTTATAAGCTGGGCACTGGTGGCTCATGCCTGTAATCCTAGCTATTCAGGAGGCTGAGATCTGAGGAGGGAGGTTTCAAGCCAGACCCTTCGATAAGTTAACTCTCAAACCCTTCTATTTCTGATAATGGGCATTTTCTTTAAGAAATTATCAAGAAGTTTTTTTATATATCTGAATGACTGTGGTATTCATATTATTTTATTTTACTTTATTAGTGAAGCAAAGTAGAACTGCCTTGCGAAGAACCTACCTTCTAACTTGGCTTATTTAAATTTTGCCTTATTTTCAGGTGCCTTTGAGTTGATGAAAGGGCTGGAAATGTAAATGGAGGAGGGAAGGGATAGTGGGAAAACAAAAAGCGGGTGTGGGGGGTGAGGGGGCCTGGGGTGGGAAAGTGGCTCAGTGGTAGAGTGCTTGCCTAGCATGCATGAAGCCCTGGGTTTGATTCCTCAGTACCAAATAAACAGAAAAAGCCAAAAGTGGTGCTGTGGCTCAAGTAGTAGAGTGCTAGCCTTGAGCAAAAGAAGCTTAGGGACAGTGCCCAGACATTGAGTTCAAGCTCCAGGACTGGCCAAAAAAAAATTGGTGAAAAATTACAAGTTGTACCTGATACTTAAACTAACATATATAGCATTTGTAACTATAAAAACAAAATAGTGGGCTGGGAGGTTGGCTCAGTGGTAGAGTTGCATGTCTTGCATGCATGAGGCCCTGGGTTTGATTCCTCAGCACCACATAAACAGAAAAAGCCGTAAGTGGTGCTGTGGCTCAAAGGTAGAGCACTAGCCTTGAGCTGAAGTTCAGGCCCCACAACCGACTCCCCCCCCAAAAAATAGTGCTACTTAGCAACAAGAGAAACTTTTTTTTTTTTTTTGGTGGTAGTTCTAGGGCTTTAACTCAGGGCTTGGGTGCTGTCTGAACATTTTTGCTCAAGACTAGTGCTTTACTACTTGGGCTTGGGTGCTGTCTGAGCATTTTTGTTCGATTAGTGCTTTACCACTTGAGCCATAGCTACACTTAAGGCTTTTGCTGGCTGGCTTTGAATTGTGATCCTCAGATCTCAGCCTCATGAGTAGCTAGGATTACTGCCATGAGTTATCAGCATCCTGTTGAGTAATATTTCTTATACCTTTTCCATTCCAATACCCTGTCATCACTTTGATATATCTTCTACAGGTAGATTTTTATGTTGCTGTCTTACATTCCAGGATAGCTGTTGCCTGTCCCAAATACACTCTCTCTTTTTTTCTTCTTTTCTTCTTTTCTTTCCTTGTTTTTTTTTTTTTTTTGTGTAAGCATTGAGAACCTCCTTTGAGAACCTCCTTTGGGAATCACCTTTCTTTCTGATTAGTCCACACAATCTGTATGTAGTCACTTGGTCACTAGCCATTATTTACAGAACTATTTTAACAGGTGCTTTATAAATGGAGCCAGGCAAAAATGCTTTGAAAGGTATTACACCATGCAGGATCAGGCCGTGCCAATAATGTAAAATGCTCCTTAACCCAAGCAAAAACAGCTAGGTACAATATAGCAGTAATAAAACCTGGTGTCACAGGCAATGAAGAAAGTTGCATTTCAAGGCAAAAATGTGACAAGAGCATCCAAGACGTTCAAAACACTATTCCTGAGAGCATACTCTTCATTCTAAAAATTGATTGACTGCTGTAAGCCTCTGGTTTATTTCAGAGCAAGAATTAGGAATTATTTTTGCCCAATAGCCTTATGAAACTCCAAATATTTTGAGTCCTGGTCATAGTCTTTTACCAGAATATTCAGGTTTTGACTAGGTACTGCTCAGGGTGGACAGGACTAGATGCTGGCACAAGAAGATACAACCTGCATAGCTGAGAAAATACACTTGGGTTGCAATATGCATGCTTTCCACAAAAGTCCCCAGGCATGGTCATTGGAGAGGGGCACAAGGGTGAGGATTGGTAGGCCTGACTGCCTCCCTCAGACCTACGCTGCTGTCGTGCCCATGGGGTTTGGAACACCAGTTAGGGTTTTCTAATAGATGTTAAGGTTTTTGTTTTTGGTTTTTGGTTTTTGGTTTTTTTTTTGGTCGTTTGTGGGGACTGAACTCTGGGCCTGGGCACTCTCCCTCAGCACTTTAGTTCAAGGCTAGTGTTCTACCACTTGAGCCACAGTGCCACTTCTGGCTTTTTCTGCTTATGTGGTGCTGAGGAATCAAACTCAGGGCCTCATGCATGCAAGGCAAGCACTCTACCACTGAGCCACCTTCCCAGCTCCTTAAGCATTCTTAATTTTTGTTAGTTGGTGGTTTAACAGTCTGTATAAATTCATATAATCTGGAGATTCAGATGATTTGGAGATTCTTTGGTAGATTTTTATTTCTAATAGCCATTAGAAAAGGAACAAGAATATTTGAGTAAGGTAGGATGTAAGAAAAGGCACAGAATGGAAAATGAGGATAATTATATAAATGTATATGTGTGACAATGTGAGGTAAGGAGGGGAATAAAGGTTATTTTAAGATGTTTAGAAAGTATAGAGAAGTGAGGATTATATTTTAAGGTTGAGAGAAGAATTTACTAACTTCATTATACTTCAAAGACTCAACAAAATATGAAAGACAAGCTTTTGTGAAGTATGGCTAGAGTCAGTAGAGAGTAATTTATGGTACTATTTGGAAGATACCTAAAACCTAAAGTAGTAAATTTATTTGAGAATAGTGAAATGCAAGCAAATTTATTTTTATATTAAGAGAGCATACTTTTTACTAATTTGAAAACCATTGTCCTAAGCATTTAATATTATTCAAAGTTTTTCTAGTGCTCTAATGTCTTAAACCACATTTCTAGCCCTTTTTGCTTTACTTTGTTTTTTGATAGGGTCTCATGCTCTCTTGCTCAGGCTAGCTTTGTGGAATACTTGTGATTCTCCTACCTCTGATTTCCAAATAGCTAGAATTACAGTTATGCACCATTTGTCCAGTCAAGGTTTTATGGAAAAGAGGAAATAAAAAGTTGTTATACATTGTCCTTGATAGGAGATGAACTTACAAATAAACTTGGAAACAAGTCTTTGTATATATTTTGTCTCTGTCTAAGATCAGTTCTTGGACATTTCATTATTGGCTTGCATACCCATTCAGGATCCTCCAGTATCTTTGTAGAGTGGATAGCACAAGTCCTAACCAATTCTGAACATCAG